TCTCTGCTCCCTCCTCTCTGCTCCCACCTCTCTCCTCCCTCCCTCCTCCTCATCACTGATCCCATCTATCCATCCATCCTACATTCTTCTTTCCTTCTCATCCCTCCTCCTGCCTCTCGGCATCTTTCCTTTCTGCGCTTTTCGTTTCTCCTGCTGCTGACATGTGTCAGCAGAACATTCCTGTTTCCATGTCTATAACCTATTTTGAGTATAGAAACTTATAGAAACTTTTAAATATGTTGTAAAGAGCGAATCATAGTTTTTTGAACTCTCTTCGTATCGTATTTATAAATATTATTGATATTCAGTACAAATCAAGTGTTTACTACGTTTCTTTTACAAATGTTTTAAAAATCTTGCCGACCTACCCCTGAATTATCACCCTACCCCTCAAAATCCATTTTACCACCCCCCACTCCAAAGACTTCCTGTAGTAGATCCATTTCGAAACCCTACCCCCCTCCGAACCTGCTACACTGTACGACCCCTACCCTAGTGAAATAGCTTAAGTACCCCCATGATGTCCTGGGGTCTCAGTCCCCCATTCCATCACCCTACCCCCGATTTTCACCCTTCACCCACTAAGTGCCTAGCCAGGACAAACTTTTTTCCTACCTACCCTGGTATAATAGCTGATAGTGATCCAAAAAAAGAGGGTAGTTGTTGACAAGTTCTATCACACCACCGGTCCCTTTTCAATGATCACCCTACCCCTACCTACTAGCCCGTGGAGTTCCCATCAGCTCCCCCACTAGCATACCAAGGGACCCTACCACGAATTTTTCATAGTTCTTGAGCTTATTCGGGGGGGTAGTAAACACACCCCTACCAGAGATTACATGGAGAAGGGACCGGTCCTCCATCCTTCAAAGTGCTCCAATGGCCCCGTACAAGGGCAACAGCATTTACTTCCTCTTCACGGCCAAATCCTCCCAAACAAGCTCCCTTCCTCCACGCACTTGCCTTGTTTTATTCTTGGATCCTCTCGTGCTTCCTCCTGCTCTAAGTTGTACACAAACAAACCCCGTGCGACTCTCGTTCCCCAACACGAAACCGTTGTTCCACTCCTCGCCTCGTCGTCTCCTTGAATCGCTGAAAAACTCGCTGGAAAC